CAGTGACCATCGTTTTAGTGGATTCATTGCGAATATCCAAGCATTTTTTCCTAACTTTACTACCTAGAGGTGGAACGGGTTTCGCAGAGGCCACCCATTTAGCCTGTCTGGCTAAAGACTAGAGGAAAACTTTATTGAGGTGACGATCGTCGTGTCTTGGAATGATTGACGGGGTTGTCAGATCGTGGCCGAAAGATCAGCCTTTGGTGGGAGTCGCTATCTGCAGAGGCCGGCTACACCCGAGATAGCGGCCAGCCACCGCTCACCGCTCATCCGAACGCAGGTGTCACATCCTCCCCGAAGCTGTACCCCCAGGCGCCCCAGAAGGCAGCCAGGAACCGCCTATCCCCGACAATCTGCAGAACGTGAAACGCCGACGCCCTCTTTTACTCCTCTAGAAAGAGTCGCAGCCAGCGTTCTTACACGGGGACCAACATGCCAATTCCCGCCCTGACGCCTTAGCGTAGGTATCTCGGTCCCACATAAGACACCAACTGGCCCCAGTAAATACAAGCCGGGCGCTCCCCAAACGCGAGAAGAAAGGGGTGAATAGGGCACAGGAGACTACGTCATATCCAAGCAGCAGCTTGGATAGAAAAGAAGGAGCCCCTATCAAGTTGGTTTCACCCATAGCTCAAAAACCTGCAACGAAAAGGGCAAGTTTCAGTACAAACCCACGTGCAATATGAACTGGTAAACAATTTACAAAAAGAAAGCCAAGGGAAAGTGGCTGCAGGAGAAATGTGATGAAGAATCTCAGTTGTAATCCCAAAGATATGTCCTAAAGGGTAAGAGAGATCACTGGTCAACAATCCTTTTCCTCCTCATATTGCATCAAAGCAGCAGGTGGCCTCTTTCTCCGCGAGACCGAGGATGTCAGTGCTCGACGAGCAAGAGCCGAAGGATCTGTCCACCAATTCTGAAGTCAGAAGTACACTGGTTTCTACAGCAAATTAAATATGGAAAAGCTGCGGGTCCTTACGGCGTATACATCGAAATGCTCAGGATCTTCAGATAAAAAAAAGGTATTGATCTCACCTGGAACTTCCTCAATGATATCTGTGAGATAGGCAAATTACTCTACTGGAAATCGTC